CTCCATCCATCTGTTGGCTACCACGTTTGGGTAGTGGGGGTCTTCGTGATGAAATTCATCCATGTTGTCTGTGCAAGAATATAAGTATCAGAAAGATGTAGAAGGTCTAAGTATGTGGTTCTATGGTATCCTAAAATATTCCTATAGTATTGTATATGTTGCATTTAGTTTTGGGTATCTTAGTGTTGGCAAGTGTAGATTCATTGTTCACTAAGGCTATTTCCCAGCATATGCTAGTTACACCTCAGATAATTATAGTTGATCATGCTATATTTATTCAGGGTCTAATTACATATCCCGCGGCCTACCCATAGTTTTCAACTCATCATAATACTTTTATTATACTGCCCTAACTTTTATGTACTGATACTTTCTTAAAATTTTATTATACTTTTAAAAATATACTTGTAGTCAAAGTGTTTTAGTCTCATTGTATTTATAGTTGTATATCTTGTATGGTTTGATATACTAGTTCACTGTAAAAAATGCTCTGATACCAATCTGTCACACCCCCAAACCAGAACGGCGGAAACGTTTGGGCCCGGATGGAGTGACTTCATTTACAGTATCATAACAATTGAATAGTAATGAAACACAACAACCTAAACATTCATACATTGATAATACAAGTTTACATCGTTTACAAATTTGTTTTGCTCAAAAGTTAATTATGAATAACAAAAGTAGAAAACATAATGCAGGGACATCGGGCCTCAAGGTATGGTGAATACCTATCTACTGATTCCCTGAGAATACAAGTGGTTTTGAAAAGTGTCAACAATTAAGTTGGTGAGTTCATAAGCATTTAGTGCGAGAAGGATTTGTAACGTCTTCGAGAGAATGATTTTTGTATACTTCTTGAAAATCTGATATTTTCTTTAAAAACGAGTTGTAACATATATCCAAGACAAAAAACTGTATGTGTTTTCTTTGTATATTTTCCTTGTAAAATGATAATCAATGTTTCCAGAAAATCCCATGTTTTCTTATGTATGAACTGTCGATGTATGTATTTCCTTTGTATACTTTCCTTGTAACTGTAAAATGTATGTTCCCAGAAAATCCAATATTTTCTGATGTTTGAAAACTATAGTCTTAAACCTTAAGAATGAAATGTATGAGTGTTGTTGTACTGAAAGATAGTATGTAGTTATATCTTTTAAGAAAACTAATGAAGTGTAAGCTTCCCTTAATCTGAGATAGTATCGTTAACCCTTATGTGAGTTATTATAACCATGCTAATGTGACTGTTATGCCGGAACGACGTTCTTCAGGCGTCAGAATCGGTAAGACATTTGTCACCCTAGACTTGCCAGTCTAATAGTAGCGAACAACTGAGGTGTGGGGTTGTCAATCCCATATAGATCTATACACATCTGTCTTGCTCTCCCTCCAGGAGACTCTGGTTATATTGTAGAACTTAAGGTGTACACTAGGTAGGTACGGTGAAGAAAATATCTCACAAGAGCATTAACTGATTTACGTGAACTATGACTCATTTTTCTTGTAAAACGAAATAAGTATAACTTTGAAACTATTTATATAATCTTGTATATAAATATGAAAGCATATTTCTGTCTAGTATGAAAATATGAAATCAAAACATAATATTTTTGAGTAGAAAAACCCACTAAATTAGTAAGTAACTATAATGTAACCACTTTTGCTAGAAAAGCTATCTTTTAGTAAAAGTTTCCAAAAACCATGTAGTTTTACAATCATAAATTTTCTTATGATTTGATAACATAGATTATGTTTGTTTTAACAATATTTATATCACAAATATTTATACTAAGACTAGTATAGACCATACTTTAAGGAAATAATATTTTATCATCAACATAATGATAAAAACATGAAATTACTTGTGGGATAAACAAAGTTTTACTTGTATCCCCACCCCACCCCCCCCCCCCTAAAACATGAAAAAGATTTAAAATGGGGGGTATGAACTCCCCTTAGGTTGGTTTTGTGGATGACTTGAAGAGTTGTGAAGAAGTTTTTAAACCTAAGCACTATAATGTGCTTGATGAACTCCTTGAAGATAATATTACCCTAAGAAGGTTAACACATGATATTGTGTGTAAATGAGATGAAATTAACAAAATAATGTGTAAAAACACTAGGGGCTTTCGAAATAGCTTACCAAATATTCTAGGACCACTTAGATGATGATGATTTTTGAAGAGAACCTAGCTTGTTCTTTAGAGAATTTCTTGAGATATGAGGCTAAAGTGTTAAAGGGATGGTAGAAAGAAAATATGAAGAATGCTGGTGAATGGAAAGAAATGAATTTTGTCGAAGTTTAAAAGAAGAAATGGGTGTTGATATTTGATAAATAATGGAATGTCTTGCATGGTTGTGTGCTGGGTAAAAAGAGGTTAGACTTAATCTTCACTCGCAAGGTAAATCTTTGACGTACAGGATATCCAATATAAAACTTCCCACTAGATACCACTTTAATTGGACGAAAACTCTTTAAATCTTCTTTGTTTGACTGAAATCACCCCATTCTCTTGGTGATTTCGGTCCTTTATCTTTGAATTTGTGGGTTGTCGGCCTTATTGGGCCATTTCCTAGTGACATGGTCCATTGAATAGGGTTTTCGGTTCTAGGTCTCCTAACAAGGAGTTTTCGGTCCTTGGCTCATCCACCAAGGGATGATTCCGTTCATGGGTTTCCATGGCCGAAAACCCCAATGGCATCCCCTTTTTAGTTCATGTTTTAAGAATTTTGGTCCATCTAGACTTTTAACCATGTGTTACGAACATGTTTCACAATGTTTTACTTATATGTGTATACACATAATGTCCTTTTTGATTTGCAAAAATCCATTGTAACATGGTTACATTGTACATTCATTGAACATGGTTACAATCTAGACTTTAATTGACCCTAAATTTACTAGTTGTGACAACAGCTAACCGGATAATCCTACTAACGTTACTAAGTCTATTAAGTATTAACCTATAATACTATAGCTTATTAGATTCTAACGGAATTTGGTAAAGAATGCTAGATCTGTCACTAATCCCAATGAGTACTGATAGATCTATGAGATAGGATCAAGCAGGAAGGACCAGTTCGACATATAGTCTTCCTAAAATCCAACAACCAAGCCAACACAACCATTCTAGACACCTCTCATGTACTAGATTAACCAGTATTTCAACTTGGAATTACTAATAAATCTTATTTATAGGTTCGTAACTACAATGTATGACTATAAATATAAGTTACATTGAAAACGAGAGAGTATAACTTAACTTACAAAGATTTAAGTGAAAACCGAAAGATTAAGCGGACAGAATCCTGAACCATAAACTCCTTCTGGTCGCCCTCTCAAATATTCCAGAGCCTCGCTAAACTATCCTAAAACTAGTGGAATGTCAGACCATAAAGGACTAGAGTGATTTGAGAGAGAATGGAGTGACAATAACCGAGGAATGAAGGAATTCGGAGGGACTATTTATAGAACAAGTGTGCACCATGCAACATGGGGGCATGCCGTATACATGTTGTGTGGTTTCACCGGCCTATTGACACGTAGCACGATCTGGGTGGGGTTGCATGGCTAACTTCATGGTTTTGATATAAACCATGATAGTTACACTGAAATAATATTATTTGTTCAAAATAAATAATTTCCAGTTAAATGAAAAAGTTAATATCAAGAATCAAATTATATATATATATATATATATATATATATATATATATATGTGTGTGTGTGTGTGTGTGTGTGTGTGTGCGTGTGTGTATGTGTGTGTATGAACTTGTTATTGATGTGACTTTTTAGGATCATATGTTATTAGCAAAGATCATTCTAACATGATTCTTGAATATATAGATCCAAAAATAAGAACAAGTTCAAGGTGCATAATTCTCTAATGTGTGTATTTTCAAAACTAATGCTAAACCAAGTCCATCAAAATGATGCAAGAAGTAAAGATTGTCATTAGTATTTGGATGACCAAGAGAATCTGTAAATCCAAATGATAAAGATGAACAAATAAGAACTTGAAGATAAACAAACAAAAAATTGTAGATCAAGCATCACATCCTCCCTTTTGACCCAATTAAGGGACCAAACTTATTCTAAATTATCATTGATGAGTTTTTATTTTAGCTCGGTTCATTTGCACCAATAACTATGGCTACTGTCAACTTTTGTCAAGGACTCACGGTATTAATTATGGCTAAATCAAGTCCATCGAAATGATGCAAGAAGTAAATACCAGGGGACTCACGGTATTAATTATGGCTAAATCAACTTTTGCAAGAAATTATACTAGTATGTTAGTATAATCCTTAGTTAGAATCTTCTTGCCTAATTTCGATCTTAGGGGCTTCTACTCCAACAGGTAATTACCAGGGGAGGACCTAGGGGTGGTCCATGGTGGCATCCGCAACCCCTAACTTTTCCGGCCGTAGTGGAAAAAATTTCGAAAATTTTCAAAAAAATAATTTTTTCTACTGTGCAACCCCTAACTCTCCCGTGCAACACCTACTGTAAAATTCTGCGTGCGCCCGTAATTACCCTTTACCAACTAGGTGGCCCCACTTGAATAGGCAATCATCAAATAATTTGTGAAAGACACAAGGATCGGGGATCTTTTGACGTTCAAAATCAGACTTCACAACAAACTTGTAAAGCAATATCGTTTTCATATTACACCTGTTCTTTTTTGTTGTGACAATATAATATATTAAAATATGTCCTACTTGCTTTGGCCGGCTTTTATGCCAATATTCATGAAACCTACTGTTGACATTATAATATTAATAACATTGGTTATAACGTGAATGAATAGACTCATGTTTCGGTTTTATATAACCGGCTAGATATTTTTATACAACACGAAGTGAAAAATGGTCATTTAGTATCTAAACATTTAGATGTTTTTTCGGACTCCCACCTTTTTCCATCTTTTTGAGTGTGACAAAATTTTGGTATATTTTGTCCCATTGACATAGTCGAATCAAATACAGTACAAATTGTTTTCGACTGTCATGTCCAGTCCTATATAACAAATGGGGTTAACAATGTCTATAAAAGAAAGCCATCAACTAGAGGTTTAGATAAAGTAATCTAAAGATATGGAAGAGGTGAAGCTTTTTAGGACATGGTCAAGCCCGTTTGCTCTAAGGGTAGTTTGGGCACTCAAACTAAAAGGCGTAGAGTATGAGACCATATATGAAGATCTTGCAAACAAGAGTTCTTTACTACTCAAATACAACCCTGTTCACAAGAAAGTTCCTGTGTTGTTGCACAATGGAACACCAATATGTGAATCACTTGTAATTCTTGAGTATATTGACGACACATGGAACAAAACTACTCCTCTTTTACCTAAAGATCCACTTGCTAGAGCCACTACACGTTTTTGGGCAAAGTTTAATGATGAACAGGTATATCATTGTTAGGACTTATTCATTTTATTTCCATTAAAATGCTATTTGGATTATATGTTGTCAATATGCATGATGTTTATAAACTATTCCTAATTATTGCATTTAACCCTTGTCTAAATGTAGCTTGCACCATCAGTGTTCAATGCTTACACAAGCCAAGGAGTGGAGCAAGAAGAAGCAAAGGCTCCTGCTTTAAAAAACCTAGAAATTGTCGAAACACAGCTAAAAGGGAAGAAATTCTTTAGTGGAGAAACAATTGGATTCTTAGATCTTGCATTTGGATGGATTGCGAATTATCTTGAGATATTCGAAGAAACAAGTGGCATAAAACTCTTAGATGAAGAGAGATTTCCTCTTATAATGTTATGGAAGGATAACTTTTATAATATCCCAATAATTAAAGAAAGTTGGCCAGATAGGGAGAAGTTGGTTACCAAGTTCAAGGTCATGCGTGAGTATTTTCTTTCTGTTAAAGCTTCTAAATAATCATGTAATACTTTCAAATCGTGATTGATGACTTATAGTGAAGACATAAATATTTACACTTCTAGAGCGTAAATTATTTCGTTTTTTAAGTTGGGTAGATTGCAATAGCCATGTATTTTACACTTGTTATCAACTAGTGGGGATTTCTCTATGCCATGTATTTTACACTTGTTAAGGACCATTTATGTAACTTTGCAAAATTTATAGGACTACTTATGTGACTTTACAAAAAAAAAAATGGTGTTACACTGTACACAACTTGTATTTAACGTAAGTACGGCTTATATAACTTTGCAAACTTTATAGGACTACTTATGTGACTTTACAAATTATAAAAAATAATAATAATAATAATAATAAATAAATAATAAACAATAAAAAAATGGTGTTACACTATACACAACTTGTATTTAAGCTAAGGACAACTTATGAAACTTTGCAAACTTTATAGGACTACTTATGTGACTTTACAAATTATAAAAAAGAAAAGAAAAAGAAAAGTTGGCGTACACTATCAACAGTGTCGCACAACTTGTTAAATGTTAGATATATATAATATAGTGTAGTTATATGTATTTACGCATAACACACTTCCATTTCTTTAAAAATAATAACAATAAATAACCCATCATAGCAACGTATTTACGTTTTTTTAGAATAACAATAACATACTTACTATTCTTTACTCATAATAGCAAAGTTTTTATATGTCTTTACTGATAATATTAAATAGGGTAAAGTGAATATACCTAACAACCTTATATAAGCTTAGGTACCTAACCACATCATACTACGTAATTTTGTATCATATTTGCATTGTAATCACCCAAAGTTCTTAAAATTGAACCTCATAACTTGATTACTTCCAAAATCTTTGGAGTTTCACAATTATCTTCCTTCAAATGATATCTTTCTATCGGAGACCCCTTGATGAGCTTCATATACTACCGTTACAAATCAAATGGTGTAGGAGGAATATAATGGTGAATGTCTGAAAATGTTGGAAGTAAATCAAGTTAAGGGTCAAAGTTTAAAAACTTAGACGATTGCAATGGAAATATAATGCAAAACGATGTAGTATAATGTGGTTAGATACCTAAGCTTATATAAGGTTGTTAGGTATATTTTACTTTACCCTATTATATATATATATATATATATATATATATATATATATATATATATATATATATATATATATATATATATATATATATATAAAGTGCATTGCACATATTGGTAGCAAAATGTAACTACATTGCTATTATAAGTAAAAAAAGATGTAAGTGTGTTGCTAGTATGTGTAAAAGATAAAATACATTGTTAATATTGATATCAAGAGTAAATAATAACTTAATTTCACCAATAATCACCACAACTACAACTTCCATTCTTAAATAAATGAAACCGATTCGCATCTCTAACTAAAAACTCTCTTTCCACAACTTTCGATATATACTTAGTCACCGTATGACAATCCTCACAAACCCGTAAATTCTTCATTATCTGCAAAGGTGTTCCCGGTTTCGTATTCAACAATCCAAAAGCAATCGCAAGCCTTTCACTATGCCCACAAAGAATCTCTCGTTTCTCATCTTCTCCAACATCATGGAAAACAGATCTCAAATTACCAATATACCCTTCTTTCGCTATCAACTCCCCAAGAACCTTAAGCAAATTCTTAACCTCTTCATATTGCTCAAAAAACTTCTCCCCGCTACTAAAAACATAAATCTTTTTATCAATATCTAACCAACTACGCCCCGCTTCCTTCTTAAATCCCTTATCTTTAATTAACTTTCTCACCTTTCTAACTTCATCCCATTTCTTTAAACTCGCGTATACATTCGATACCAAAATATAATATCCGGGATTGTTTGAATTCAATTCGATTATACGTTTTGAAGCACGTTCCGCGATCTTGGTGTGGGTCCCACTTGCGCGACAAGCACTAAGTAGAGAACCCCAAATGCTTGCATCGGGAGTCATTGGCATGGAAAGAATGAATTTTTCGGCTTCGGGCAGCTGCCCGGATCGCGAAAGAAGGTCAACTACACAAGCGTAGTGTTCAATGTTCGGGTCGATTTTGTAATCGTTTGTCATTTCGTTAAAATAAGCCCTACCTTTTTCTACTAAACCCGAATGACTACACGCGAAGATAATAGCAAGAAAGGCGATTCGGTCAGGAATTATTCGGGCAGCTTTCATATTTTCAAATGCTATTATTGCCATATTTCCTTGACCATATATCCCGTATGCATAAATCAATGTTGTCCATGTCACAACATCTTTGACTTTCATATGGTCAAATACTCGGATTGAATTTTTTAAATTTCCACATTTTGAGTACATTTCGATTAGTGCATTTGCGATTGGAATGTTTGACTCGAAATTTAACTTAAAAACACACCCGTGAAGCTCTTTACCTTGTCGTTTTGCTCCAAGATTTGAACATAAAGGTAATGTGGTTAAAATCGTAGCTACATTAGGTAAAATTCCCTCGATTCTCATTTGATTAATTATTCTAAACCCTAAATTGTATTCCTCGGAATGAGAACATGCGGAAATAATCGTATTCCATGATACGATATCGCGATCTTTCATGTTATCAAATTGGTTCAATGCATCTTCCATTTTACCACATTTAGCATAAACATCAATGAGAGCATTTCTCACAATTATACTGGAGTTAAACCCCGATTTAATCGTTTCACAATGAACTGATTTTGCTAACTTTAAGCTCATGAGAAATGTACATATAGGAAGAATTGTCACGAATGTTACAAAATCAGGTGTTATGTCCATTTTCATTGATGTAAAAGTTTCAATTGCTTCCTCATATAATGATGCTTTAACAAAACCATTGATTAACGAGTTCCATGATGTCAAATCCTTGGTTTTCATTTTGTTGAAAACTTCTCTTGCTTCTGAAAAGTGGCCACATTTTGCATACATATTAATAAGGATATTACTTGCTGTTATATCACATTCATATCCATTTACAACCATGTAATTATGTACAAATTTTCCAGATTCCAAATCCCGAATTTGACTACAAGCATGGAGAACAGAAGTAATTGTTAAAAGATCTGGTTTGTGGTTATTCAACATCTCCTTAAACAACACGATTGATTCTTGATATAGGCCTAATTGAGAGTACCCTGAGACTACAGTGTTCCATGTAATTGTATCTCTAATGGGCATCTCATTGAAAAGCTTGTGACACTCTTCTAATTTGTTGGATTTGAGGTACATTGAAAGAAGACTATTGCATACTTTTGTGTTGATATCAATCCCAAGTTTTAATGATAAACCATGAACAATTTGACCCTCCATGATTGCATTTAGCCCACTACAAGCAGGAAGAACACTCGACACCATGAAGGAATCTGGTGTCAATCCAGCTGTTCTTGATTGATGAAACGTTTCCAAAGCTTTTTCCCATTCCTCGTGGGCAGTATAACCCGAAACAAGACTATTCCAAGAAACTGAATCTCTGTTTGGCATTTCATCAAACACCTGGCGTGCTTTGTCCAGTGTAGAGAACCTTGCGTACATATCTATTAACGCATTACCAATATATAAATCAGATTGAAACCCCAACTCCAAAACATGTTCGTGAACAATCTTGGCTGTGTCAAAATTCCCTGAACCCGCACAGGAATTAATCACCGAAGGAAAAGTGAAGGGGTCAGGGTTTATATTCAAGACCCTCATTTTAGTATAATGATTCAGTGCTTCTATGAATAATCCATTATGGGTCATCGCTCTTATGATAGTATTCCATTGATAGACGTTGTTGGTAGGTGAAACGCTGATGAAGACCGATGAACATGAATGTGGGTCTTTCAGCTGAGCGTATTTGCTGATGAGTTTGCCAGAGAAGAAAACTGTTCTAACAAGTCCTGAAGTAATTAAAAATGAATGAATTTTGTGAAGCTCTTTGATGTTTGATGTTAAAGATAGTGCTCTTGAGATTGAAACATAGAGGGATTCTTGAATTTGTTGGGCGAAAGGATGCAACTTTGAAGGTCGCATTGTTGTCGAAGTCAACATAAACGCTCTGGTTTAGACATTTGAAAGATAATGTTTTAAAAAATAAAACGTTTGGTGTAATTTATTGGAATTTACAAGATGGACACCATAATCGCAAATATGTACTCTTGCACCCGCAAAAATACTTTTTCAGGCAGGCATAAAACTGCTGAAGTGTGAAAATTTATAGGGTTTCACGAAATTCAATTGTTTTAAACAGTTTAAGTGAAATTTGCATAAACTTTAAATAGTACACCGGTATAAATAAAATTTACTTATAGAACCCTCCACTATACAAGAGTATTACACTAACAATATATGACTTAACACACCCCTTCCATTTGAGTGGCGGGTTCATAAACGCTTAAACAGTCCCGAAAGTTTAAAAATAAATATGTAGGTAGTCCTTTTGTAAATATGTCCGCAAATTAGTGAGCAAATGAAACATGCAACACATAAACCTATCTAATGGTAACGCATTCCCTAACAAAAATGTAAATGTATTTCTACATGTTTGCTGCTTTAGTGCGCAACCCTGTTACAAGAACCAAAAAACATGGACCGGGACACGGTAAGCCTCATCCAGTTCGATCCAAAGTCCATAATATTTTGCCAAATCGGTCCGGTCCAATGGTTGGTTTGGTAGGTAAGGTCCAGTCCAAATGTTCACCCATACTATAAGGTTCTAGCAAGACTGCGATACAAGGTTGGATCGGACACCAGTTTTCCCAGAAGGGGATAGTTTTGGTTGGTATCTATGTGGGTGCTGCAAGGATTATAGGAGATCATATTGGCATCAGAAAGAATCTCCATGGCGAAGGTTGTTTGAGAAAGAAACAAGCCTTGTGTGGTACGCATAGCAACAATGCCAAGAAAGAAAGAGAGAGGACCTAAGTCGATCATAGAAAATTCAAAGTAGAAATGAGCAATGACACAAGTGATCAAAGACAAGCTAGAAGCTATGATCAAAATGTCATCAACATAAAGAAGAATATTATACAGAACGCTAAAATCTGATGTTATATGAGTTCATTGTAATTTTTCGAAAATGCACATGCAACATAGTACGTAGGTATTTATTGTAAAATATGAAATGAAGATAGGTTATCCGCTACCCAAAATGATGTAAAGAAGATTCAATGTCCTTGTATATACGAATCCATAGAAATAAA